GAAAATTTCCATACGTCTACCTTACACATCCTAGATAACCAGGGTAAGGATTCACAGTTATGATAAGGCACATGACGGAAGGAAGGGGAAGTCTGTAATCACTAGAATGCCAACCAGTGGAATGTCTTCCCCATGCCCATGGTCTTATGATGAGACCATTCTGACACCCTTCTTTCCACAAAGTTAATCGTGGGGAGCAGATTTACATGTCATCAGTCATGCATGTAAGGCAAAGTCAACAGCATCTATTTGTCAAACAGTCTGTAGTCCCTTGTTTTCTATCCACCGAGTGATAGTCAATTATCAACCTCTGAAGGATGAAAGGCGTGCGATTCTCTCGGTTCTGCGTCTGACCCTCTACCGGCTAAGCAGACCGAGTCTGAACGAATTTCTAGTAAAAATTTCTCTCTTAAAATAATTTGTTGTTAAGACAAATATTCCCTGCACTGGAATTCATCCCGGCCTTTCCTTAGATTGACGCTGACCTTTTAAGTCCATGCCACATGAAGGGTCCCCTCTGAATTAATATGGTGAGTCTAAAATGCTGAGCCAACTAGGCAGTGGTAAATCAGAGATCCGTAAGTCTCTTAATAGTTTTGGGAAGAATTTAGGAAAATGAGAGAAAAATAACGGTTCGATGTTGGTCGTAAGTCTTAGATTCATGCAACCTGCATCCTGCTATCTGATCGGAAATTATGAGTTGCAGGAAAGATGAGGGAAAAATCTGACCATAATTTAATGGGTGATTTGAGAAATTTCATAAAGCATTAATATCTCATTTCTGACCACAGTCAGAAAAGTTATTGCAGCTTCAAATCTCAGGGACGAGAGCAAAATCAGTGGATGAGTGGAAAAGAGCAGAAGCAGCCTAACGGTGAATGCGATGCAAAACGAAAGAAACTGCCATTGGTTGCCGAAGGGTATGTCTTGTGGTTCAAAAGCGACGGTGAAATAAAAAAAAGCGTTCGACTGCGTTCAGCCCTAAGGCGGTAATACGGCGAAAAACCGATGTCATCAGGTTTTTCATACATTTGAATGATGGACGTTTTCAAGTTAACCTATAATCATTAGCTGCATTACGCTTTCCGTCTGAGAAAAGGTTGAGTCATTTGTGGACGTGCATCCTCAAGGGATTCATTTTTGCATAGTCGCCTCGTTTCATGCAAAATAGGCTATGCCTCGCATCGCCAGACTTATCGTCGAACGCGAACAGAACATTCATGCAAATTGCAATATTACAGACTATATATATATATATGTACTATGCGACCTAATGGTCGTGATTGCTAGTCTGTCCGTCTGGTTGGTTTCTTCCATGCCACTGGCATGGGTTGTAGACTTTACTGCGAAGAACGGTGCTCGCTTGGTCTTGCAGCCTAGTAAAACGCTGGACTACGTACATGCCATGACGACAGTGCCAAGACAAGCCTTGTGGACGACTTCTGTGGCCCTGTGATTCTGCTCGAATGGCAGGCTATCGATTGGTCGAAGTCCGTAAGTACATTTTCGATTTATGAGGTTTTTGTCATGATGAAGTTTAATGGCAAGGGTGCGTTTATTTGATCAATGAAGGTGTTACACTAAAACGAATTTTATAACTTCTAAACAGCCTGTCGATCAATATTTATCCGTTAGAGCATACGTTCGAAAAATAATCGATACAGTGTCGTGAATTATTGCAGATAAGTCAGTGTTTCGATTGTAAATCAAGTCGGTTTAATCACTCGAAAACGGGCGACACAGTAGCCGATGATGCCAGATGCGTGCACTTTCCAATTGCAGTTCTCTGTCGTCCATCTGACTGCTAATAATGCTTAGCGTTATGTGTAAAGATAAATATCACATAACTCATTTATTACCAGGTTTCACGGTGTATAGCATCGCTTGTTGCTCCTACTTGCTTATAGAAACCTTTAAGTAGGCAGGGCTTCAGGATACTTAGAATAATTAACTTGATATCCCAGGAGCTGGCACTAATACCGTATACACAAAATAAGTAGTTCGCAAGAGTACGTAGATGTAACGCATGATGCCATATGAAAAGCATGCTGTTCATGCATATATTATAACATGTAATTAATGCCAGCTATTGAAACATCGTTCGTAATTAGCGAGATGGCTGTAGTGGATAAAATGATGCTAAATGCATATGCCAATACAGGCGCTCAAACATCGCTTAGGCTTGCCATACTTAAATGACTTCGCTAAGACTCTGGGAGCAAGGGACAGTGAAATATGACGTAAAGCATGATGTCGGAGGAGTCATGTGCTACTATGATGCATATTAGTAATTTATTTTGTGATTTTACTGCCTTTATAAGGGTCTGGAACTGGTGTGGGAGCCCACTCCGGTAGTTTAGGCTGTGGGAATACCCGCCACTAACAAATGATATCGTTCCACGACTAAAGTCGCACAAAATGCTGCTCTTTGCTGAGTTCTGAGGTTCGGTCCGGTTTACTGTGGTTGGCAGTAGTTCATGAGTGCTGGTACTGTGAACTAACTGTGAAACTGTGGCGATTGTGACTCGGTAGACCTCACGACGTGATTGGCAAACGGACCCGCAACGTCATCAAGATATTCGTGGCCAGTCATAGTGCAAGAGAGCCATCTGCAGAGGCATTTAAGAACGCCTATATCACGTGGATGTCACTGGAACGAGTGAGGTCCGAACACCTGCCGGTGTGCTGCACAGTGGAACAACGACGAAGAAGTGTTCTTCAGGAAGGTCATCGAGAATCGAGGCTTGACTGGCAGTGTTGGGTTCATAGTAAAAAGAAAGCTGCACCATTTCAAC